AAAAAAAAAATCCATCCAGTAAGTAGCCAGATGATGTAATTTCAACTTTTGGTAAGTGACACAAACAACACGAGCGAGAGCATGAAATACCTGGCTACGGCTGTCAAGGAAGTCTTCCCTGAGAATGCAGTGTGTGAGGGGACATCCGCTGAAAATGTTGTGACATCCTAGCTCTGTTTCATTTGTTCTGGGACAGGTAAATAAAGCATTTTCCCCTAAGGTGGAAACTACCAAGAAAGACTAATTCCTGGTGGTCCTCTTGCCCTTCAGAGAGAGATAACTCCTGATCACATTCCCTCTAAGATTTGGCGACACCCTTTGCCAGCAGGGGTTGGTTGAGGTTGCATACAGGGCTCAGATATATGGAAATGGAGAAGTGTTTGGGCCCCTTGAATTGCTCATCTGGGGTTGGAAAAGGCTGCTCTCTGGGTATTGCTGAGTCAGTTTGCTTCTGTTTGTGATTGCTAAGTGTATCCATTAGTCTCTGGTTGCTTTTGGGCTTTAGCTGAGTAGGGCTTGCCACTTAATACACGAAAATGCCCCCTCCACCCAAGAGAGATAGTCCACTATGAGAAGTCAATCCTCAGTCTCCCCTCTTGGACTCACAGACACCTAGACCCTCTGCCAGTATGATGAAGATCACAGCTGGCTGTGAATGACATGGGCTGGTCACTGCTGAGGGGGAGGGGGGCTAATGCCGGGAAGAGGAAGTCTAGAGCCAATCTGGACTTCTGTCCAGACCCTGACCTTATTTGCAGTGATGTAATCAGTCAATATTGTCATAGTGCTGGGAGACAGCCCATTCCCAGCAGGGTTGGAAGTGGGGGTGGTGCTGCTGCTGACTCTATTTAAGGAGTTCAGCCCAGTGCCCAGGCCTGTGTTGCGGCTTTTCCAGCTCACCATGGTTGGGGCAATGGGAACGCCAATTGTACTTGTGTTGTTGAGCCTGTGCTGGTCTCTGGCCACTGCCAGCCCTCTTCCTCCGTGAGTAGTGCTGGGAGTAGGGATGGAGAATTGTGGTCTGGCTTGGGTAAAGGGAGGGCCAGTTTTAGATTTGGGTCAAGAGCTAAGAGAAATAGATTGGTCCAAATGGACCTAGATATCTACCTGTGTTCCCTCTAGGACTAGTGTACATGGAAATGTCACTGAAGGTGAGAGTGGGACCAAGACAGACCAAGATGTGATCGGTGAGGCCCCAGTTCCTTGAGTCTGTCAATCTGCCTGGTTGTACCTACATTTTATCATCTTCATGGTTGTTTATCTTGCCTTCTCCTTACTTCATCCCAGAACACTGTTCAGATAGCTGGAGCTTTGATGCCACCACCTTGGATGACAATGGGACCATGCTGTTTTTTAAAGGTAGAAGAGCCTGGGATTGGAGCACTTAGGACCTCTGTCTTGTTCCCCTTCACAGAGGGTGTCTCTATCTTCACAGAGGGCTTGGGAATTATCTGAGGGCGTTGCTGATAGCTTCTTTATAACAACCAGCAGACCAAAGGGTTTGATCTGGATTCCTCAGTGGATGTGGTTTTCAGGGGAATTCGTATGGAAGGGTCACAAATGGACCAAGCAGTTAATCTCAGAGAGATGGAAGGATTCCACCAGCTCCGTGGATGCAGCGTTCCGCCGTGGCCATGACAGTGTCTTCCTGATCAAGGTACTGCTGGGCCAGGGTTGGGGCCAGCCCAGAAAGGGCTGGAATCCCACCAGAAATCTTCCTTCAAGTCAGGGCCTGGGTCCATTTTCTGTTGATATGACAGAATATCAGAGACTATATAATTTTGATGAATACAAATGTAGTGGCTTACAGTTCTGGCATTTACAGTTTGGGCTTTGGTGAGGGAATTTATGTTCATGATAGCATGATGCAAAGGCAGAAGAGTGGGCAGGAATGAGAGCAAGCAGAATCTGAACTTGCTTTACAACAACTCAGTCTTACAATAATCCACTCCCATTTTGACATTAGTGTGATAAGAACATCATTCACAACGGCAGAGCTCTGAGGATCTAATCACCTCTTACTAGGCCCCTCTGTTGCACAAAAGATGAAGTCTCCAACAAAAGAACTTTTGGGCCCACGTTCACATCATAGCAGGGCCCACACCACACCAATAGACATCAGGTTGCCTTTCCCTGTACTTGCTCTTTCCAAGAAAGTTGAAGGTAGGCCTGGTGTGGTAGCACATGCCTGTAATGCTTGCACTCAGGAGGCTGAGGCAGGAGAATCACTTCAAGATTGACACGAGCCTGGGCTACATAATGAGTTGAAGGTCAGCCTGAACTACACATAGTGGGACCCTATCTCAAAAAAAAAAAAAAAAAAAGGAAGCCTGTTGAGGTTGTGTGTGCCGCTGGCCCAGAAGGCTCAACACCCAATGCGTATTTTTCACTGCTATTTCTAACGCTGCTGGCCATTTTTCCCTCTACTGCGCTCCCTTCCATTGGCTTCCACGACCCTGGATCAGGTCCTTTTCATGTGGCAGATCAGGTCGTTCCCAACACAGCTGGACCCGACCAAGGGAGTGAGTGAAGAATGAAATAAAGATTACTGTGTTCCCTGAATCCTGTTCCCTGGCTTAAGCTGTATCTCTCTGAGGGGCACCTTCTTCTAACTTGCCAAAGATAAGTGGCTGGGGTGGCCCTGGTGACTAGCTATGTCTCTGACGCACAGGTTCTATGGGCACCTCAAATCTAGCAGCCCCCAAACTGAATTTAGCATCTTCCTTTCCTCTGGGTTCTCTGTTTCAGTAAAGGTGCCACCGTGTGTCGGTTACTGCAGGCCGGGCACACACGGGTCTCTGGGTCTGGCTCTTGGTGACTCCTCCCCTGCCGCGTTTACTGCGTGCCAGCCGCAGGAAGATTACGTAAAGTTTTCTGAGCACGCTGCGCTTGCTCGGGTTTTGGCTCTGCGTGCTGCTCCCTCTGCTGGCAGCACTTTTGCCTCCTTGTTTGTGCTGGAAAATTCCGGCTCATTTTTCACTTCTCGAGGCAAGTGCTTGGTGTCCACTGTGACACCTTCCAGGACTTTTTAAGGCAGACTTAGGCATTCCATCTTCATGTCGCATGGATGAGATGGTAGCAATTCTTTCTGGTTTTGTACAGTGAACTCTTTGAGGTCAAAGTCGGGATTTTGATCATAGTACCTGGCATGTAGTGATCATTCAGTACATTTCTTGAATGAGTGCATAGATGACCAAAATGGATAAATGGATAACTGCGAGATGATTATTTATGGGTATGTTTGCCAAATGTGATAGGCTTGCAATTAAGTGTGCCATAGGAATATGTGGTTCTGCATAGCCAGACTGTGTATATTGTAGAAATGTTGGCAGCATTTACACAAACTGAGGGTATGTATTGTGCAACGGGCAATGCACTGGTGTCCACAGATGGGCCAAAAGTGTGAGGGACCGCAGGAGGTCTCTGTACATGGGTAATAGATCAAAAATAGATATGAATGAAGAATGGCAGTATGGGGGTGCACAGTTAGAAGAGCATGTTTGTATTCAGGGGGACAAAGTCTGGGTGTACCCACCTGAAAAGAAGGAGAAAGGATATCCAACGCTGCTCCAAGAGGAATTCCCTGGAATCCCATCCCCCCTGGATGCAGCTGTGGAATGTCACCGTGGAGAATGCAAGGAGGAAGGCATTCTCTTCTTCCAAGGTCAGTCCAGGCTGGAATCAACCTGCATCATGGTGGGTTGGTATTGATGAGGTGGTAACACTGCTAAGGGTGGTGGGGGCGAGATCCCTGTGTGCTTCTATAAGGGGGAAACTAGAGAAGCCAATTAGAGTGTAGCGGTCAAACAGGGGAAGAGGGGAAATCATTTTGGTGAATATATCTGGGTGCAATTCTATCTAAATCCTCCATTATTTCCCATGATTCTAGGCCTAGGACGGTGTTTTGTTCCTTAGCCTTATGTGTAAGTCTCCCCATAACTAAATCCCTACTGACCCTCCAGCTTCGACTCTTATCCCCTTACCTTGAATACTAAGTTCTAGAAACTCTGTACTGGTGATCACTGAACCTATAGCATATGTGTTGCAGCAGAATGTTTGTGTCACCGAAAGTTCTAAAAGCCATCACCTCTCTGCACTGTCCCTGACGCTCAGTTTTCTTCCTAGTCCAAGCTCTTCCATCTTTCTAAAGTTTCATCTCCCCCTCTTGACTGCCTCGTAACTCCTATGTCAGATTTCGGCTTAGCCCCCATCCTCCTGAGAAAGTTTCCCTTGCTCTATTTCTGAGCTGATTTCATGCACTTTGCTGCTGAATTCTGTTGTATGTTCAGTCTCCCCAGTTGTTTCCCTGGGCTTTCCAGGCGGCTGATGCTATATTGGATCTAACCTGAGCCAGTGAGAGCACAGAGGAAGCCATAACCTGGCCTTACCCAATGTATGTTGATTTATTGGACAAAGGTAACCAGAAGTGGTTCTGGGACCTGGCAACGGGAACCAAAAAAGAGCGTATGTGGCCTGATGTTGGGAACTGCACCTCTGCCCTGCGGTGGCTTGGCCGCTACTACTGCTTCCAGGGTAACCAGTTCCTGCGCTTCAACCCTATCACGGGAGAGGTGCCTGCTGGGTACCCAAAGGATGCCCGTGACTACTTCATGCCCTGCCCTGGCAGAGGTGAGGAAGCCCCAGACCCATTTGCCCCATAACCCTTAACTCTGAATGGCAACACTGTGGCGTTAACTCTAGCCCTGTTTCCACTGTGGCTTTTCCTGTTGTCTTCACACAGGGAGGCCCACACTCCTACTCCTAGTACCCCAGCCATCTCATCCACCTTGGACCCCACTCTGACCGATGAACTCCCTCTGTCTCCTCCCTCATTTCTCCCCCTAGGCCATAGGAATAGAACTGTCCATTGGAACAGCACCCACCATCAACTTGAGAAATCACGCTGTAGACCAGATCTAGTCCTGTCTGCACTGGTGTCTGACAACCACGGTGCCACCTATGCCTTCAGTGGTGAGAGATTCCCCTAGCATCACCCCCCATGCCTGTCCTGCCTCTTTCACTTGTGCCTCTTGGCCCTATAATTTTCTCCACTTTCATCCCTATGTCATGTATTTTGTCTCTGCCGTCCCCCACTCCTAGCATGCCCTTTCACATTCTCCTGTTTTTCTACCTTGTCTCTCATTGCCTAGGCCTCTAAGTGGGTCCACCCATCTACTTCCCATGGCTGTGAACCTCTCTAGGCCCCTGTGACTCTTAGGCACATTTCTTTTGCCCAGCGCCCTGCTGAGTTCTCTGACTTCCCTTTGCTCCTTGTATCTATTTGCTCTTGCATGTTTTTCTGTGTGCTTTGGCTACCCCTGAATTAAATGTGAGGAGCTCCGCCTTTCCACCAGGTGACTGGTTCCTATGTTCGGGCCTCTGCGCTGAAACATCACCTGGAGCTGAGCTATCCCTATTGCTAAAAAGCAGACAATAAGTGTTGGGTGCCACAGATGCTGAGAAGGTGATTTCAAGGAGTCTCCTTCTCAGAGTGTTCAGTGGTGACACCCACCCCTTGAGCTGTGGCCTCACCTGGTGAAAACCATGCAGTGATGCCTGGGGATGCCCCAGGATTAGTAAAGCAGGCACGTTCTAGACTTGATATCCCTGAGAGGGCATGAGTACCACACTGCACTCAGCCTCAGTGTGTGTATGATGAGATACAGAAATAGGGGAGGTGATGAGAACATTGAAAAAGGAAATACACTTTTGCTCCTAATGCTGGGACAAATTTTTCACCAGTCAATGACTACTAAGTTCTATTGAAAGATCTCAGCCATGTGGGCATTGCCTCTCCACAGGAACGTGTACTGGAAGAGCATACGGCTGGAATAAAGCGTGCACACGTAGCAGCAATGCACAACTAACCAAAGAACACACACTAAGTAAGAACACATGAGCATCAGCTATGGTGAAATCAGGAAACAACTAGGAGGATACATAGGCAAGCTGAATCTGTGTGGGTGTTTATGTGTGTGTGGGGTGCAACAGGGCCACAGGACCATACAGAAGTAGAGACAGAGCGCTCGGTCATGGAGACATCATAGAACTTCAAGACCATGTGACTATAAAGAGAATGTAGCCAAACTCCTAGAAGAGAAGTATATTGCATAGCTACTGAGAGGGCACACGGCTGTGGAGATAGTATCATTATATTAGAGTTGCCCAAGTGAGGAAAGAACTCCTGTCTTGATGAGGATATCCATGTGACCTAGCTACTCAGCATGAGGCTGGAGTTCTCTCTCTTTCTCTCCCTCTCTCCATTTCTGCCTCACTCTCTGTCTCTGTCTGTCTCTCTGTCTCTGTCTCTCTCTCACTGTCTTTTTTTCTGTCTCTGTCTCTCTCTCACTGTCTTTTTTCTGCTTCATAGCCTCTTACTCTGTCCTATCCTTACAACTTTGCCTTGAGCATGAACCATCCTGGCTTCTCCATCTTCTTTCTACTCTATGATATTTGAGCCTCAGATTCAACTGATAACTCCCAGTTGTTCTCTTATCTGGTCAGATTTCCAGAGAGGGACTCGGAATGGCCCAGCCCCATATTTTCATGCCAAACCACATTAAAATGGTTGCTGGCTGACTTACGTATTGGCTACAGATGAGCTGGCAGATCACTCAGGTCCTCTGCAGAGAGAACAGTACACCTTGATTCGCCACAAAGGGACCCTAAGCAGAGTAGTTACAGCACTAGAGGAGGATGGTAAGTCACCACTTACAAACTGAGTTCACAGCTTTTGTTTGTATCAAGAGCACCAGGTGTTTACCCAACAGACATTTATGAAGCACCTGAGAGGCATTGTTTTAGGGCCCTGGAAACAATACTCAACAGAGAAGACAAGACATCTGGTTCTATAAAAGTCATTAACAAGCAAGAACAAAAAGGAAGAAGGCAAGAGAATACTCCCACATAGTATTAAGATATAAAGAGACTAATTCATGGGATAGAGGTGAAGAAAATCAGGCCACTTCTTCTGAGAGATGAGTTTTGAGATAGTATTTCAGGGATGAAAAAGAACTAACCACAGAAAGCCCTGGATGAAAAGCATTTTAGAAAGAGCAAACAGAAAATACTTGGAGGAATCATGAAAGAAGGCCACTGTAGCTGGAACCTGGGAGGAGTAGGTGGGTGGTTTGAAAGAGAGAGGCAGGGGCAGGGGCAAGAGGATCTCTGCAAGTTCACAGGCCAGGCTGGGCTACCAGGGAGTTCAAGGCCAACCTAAACTACAAGTGAAACTGTCTCAAAAAAAACCAGAACCAAAACAATCAGGGTGTGTGTGTGTGTGTGTGTGTGTGTGTGTAATTATACAGGCCTATAAGAATTTTGAACTGTAAAAGGAAGCCAAGAGGATTGACAAGGATTGTAATATGGCCTGACTTAATTTTTAAAAAGACCATCCTGGCTTCTTGGGGAGCATCGGTTTTAAAGGCATGCTTGCGTAAGCAGGGGATCTAGCCAGTGGTTCCTGCAGCTGCCCAGGGTGGAGGTGAGGACACCTTGTACTGAGAGGACTGCAGCAGAGGTGGCGAGGAGTCATCGGGACATGTTTTGGAGACTGAGCAGACAGCATCTAGTGATATATCGGGTAGTGGTTGGAATGGTGGTTTCTTTTTCTAAAATGTGGAAACACTAGGGTGTGGGTGTGTGCACAGGTGTGTGTGTGTGTGTGTGTGTGTGTGTGTGTGCCTCTCTTGTGGGGTAAGAAATTAGTTTGGAGAGTTAAGGTTGGTGTTGAAGGATATCAAATAAGCAGGTCAGATAGGCAATTGAGCCTGAGCCTGAAGTTCAAAGGAGAGGTCAAGCCAGCCTGAGTTGCATAGTGCATGCAAGACCCGCCTGAGCTACCCCAAAAAGACAAACAAACAAACAAAAACAGAGGAGAACTGAAGAAAACTAGTTGGAACTCCTCTGTTTATAAATTGTACTTAAAGCCCCAGAACTAGGTAATTACCAGGGGAGAGGGGAGGATGGAGAAGACGCCTAAACTATGGGCTACGTTCACTGTGGGGCGTTGGTGTGTGAGCACATCACACCTCCCTTTCCACCCCATCTCTTGGTCCACTTCCCATCTATCTCCCTGTTTCCTTTTATCTTTTATTTTGCTCTTTTATTTATTTATATTCTGGTTTTCTTGTATAAGAGAAACCAGATGCTTTAAGCTTGTGCATTTGATCTATTTCACTTAACATTATAGTCTCAAAGTGTCTCCATTTTTCTACAAATGATTCAAGTTTATCCTCATTGGAAGCGCAGTAATCCGTTGTGTATAACACATTTTCTTTATCTGTTGATCTGCCGATGGGCCTGCGTGCCACTCCCAAGGCCTAGCTAACCGTGAGCAGTGCTGCATGGTTAGCGCATCCCCTATGCTATGGTGCCCTTAACTCTTTGGGGAAGACATCTGGAAGGGGAATCGCTGCTTTGAATGAAATTTTTCCTTTCATTCCTTTTGAATGAAATTTTTCTGTTTCTTGAGGAATCTTTAGATTCAGGCTGAAGAGGACAGTCAGACAGTGGAGAAAAACACTAGAAGAGGCTGGTATCAAAGGGGCCACAGCTGAAACAAGACAGTTGAAGAAGGGAGCGGTACGAGGTCAGATGCTGCCGGGAGGTAGATCCAGGTGAAGACAGATTGACCTTTGGGCTGGGAAGGCTGGCACGTACTGGTGATCTCTGGGGAGAAACAGAAGTGAAGCGAAGCAGACTGAGGGGAAAAGGAGCAATGTGAGCCCAGATAACCCCCTTAACAATTTTGTTGTGAAAAGGGGAGAGAAAAAGGAGAAAACTGGGGTGCAGGCATGGCTACTCTCTCATTCTCCTGCTCCTTCACAGGCTCAGCGAACACAACCAGGTGAGGGTGTGTGGTGAAGTCTGTTGTGGTGCTTCCCTTCCAGCCTCTGGCCGCTATGTCTCCCTATGTGTAACCACCACATCTCTGCGCTCTGTGATTATAGCGAGCCCCTAGCAAGCCCCCTTGCCTCAAAATGTCACGCCTTTGTCCATGCTTGCGCCTGTCATAGCCCTGCTGACCTTGCTCTGGTTGAGCTCCAGTCCCCAGTGTTGCGGGCCTTCTTCCTCTCACTTGGCTTCCGGCTTCCTGGCCTCTAGAAGCATTCTGTCTCTCTCGAGACAGCTCATCCCTGCACCTGTGCCTAATCTGGATGTTCACCCCCAACACTAGAGCTACTTCTGTACCCCACAGGATCCCACTACTGGCGTCTGGACACCAGCCGGGATGGGTGGCATAGCTGGCCTGTCGCTCATCTGTGGCCCCAGGGCCCTTCAACAGTGGATGCTGCCTTTTCCTGGGAGGATAAACTCTACCTGGTGCAGGTGTGTGCTGGGAGAGAGGCTAGAGGTGGAAGCTGGGACACCAATATCTGGCTCAGAGTTGATTCCTGCTCCTCCATCCTCCAGGGCACCCAGGTATATGTCTTCCTGACCAAGGCAGGCTACACCCTCGTGAGTGGTTATCCAAAGCGTCTGGAGAAGGAGCTCGGGGGTCCTCACGGGATCAGCCTGACAACAGTAGATGCGGCCTTTACTTGTCCAGGGTCTTCTCATCTCTATGTCATGGCAGGTGAGGGCTTCTGAGGACAAGGGGGTAGCTTGTTCTGCTACCCTTCTCTGAGACAAATCCCTGCCCAGGGCAAGAGAAGGGCTATCTCAGGATCCCCAAGACATGGCAGCCTCATTAGGTTTGCTGTCTCCTCCTAGGTCGGCGGCTGTGGTGGTTGGACCTGAAGTTGGGGGCTCAAGCCACATGGACAGAGCTTCCCTGGCCCCATGAGAGCATCGATGGGGCCCTGTGTGTGGAAAAGTCCTTAGGCCTCAACTCCTGTTCTGCCAGTGGTCCGAGCTTGTACCTCATCCAGGGACCCCGTGCGTACTGTTACAATGATGTGGAGAAGCTGAGTGCGGCCAAGAGCCTCCCACAGCCTCAGAGGACGGCCAGCCTCCTGGGCTGCAGCCACTGAAGAGCTGCTGGGGGACTCCGGCCCCTTCCCTCCCCCTCCACTTGCTCCAAATAAAGCCAGGTTGCTTCTTCGTTTGACTAACAAACCCTTCATTGTGCAGCAATCTTCGTTCTTTTTAAAATTTAGGTTTTAGCTTTGAATTTTTAAACTTAATTTTTATCTTTTTGTTTTTTTTGAGACAAAGTCTTGCTTTATAGTTCAGGTTGTCCTTAAAGTCACTACACAGCTCAGGCTGGCCTCAAACTCTCAGTCATTCTGCTGCCTCAACCTCCTGAGTTCTGGGATTTTAGGTATGTGCTACCATGCCTGGCCTTAAGTTTTTCATTTTAAAATTTATTTTTATTACTATAGTTGCAATGCCTACTAATTATATACATTTTTACATATAGTTTGGGGAACTGATACAGGTACATGTTTGGTATCTTAATTTTTTTGAAACAGGATCTTACTTTCTGGTTCAGGCTGGCCTTGAACTGACTACATAGCCCAAGGCTGGCCTCGAATTCATGGCAACCAAGAGCTGGGCTTGTGTACACGACCACGCCCAGCCTGCACCCTGATCACTTTTTCCTCCACTCCCGTCCTTCCTTGATCTCCTTCCCATCACCAACAAATCTAGCTCCCTGTTTTCCACATCTCTCTTTTATTTACCCTTAAAATTATTTATGCTCTGGGTTTCCCAGATAAAAGAAACCACAAAACATTTAACTTCTCTGTCTGACTCATTTCAGTTAACAGTATGGTTTCAAGATCCATCCATTTTTCTACAGAGGACTCAAACTTATGCTTCTTTATGGCTGAGTGTATGTGTGTGTGTGTGTGTGTGTGTGTGTGTGTGTATGCCACATTTGCTGTGTCCATTCATTCATTCATTCATCTGTTGGCAGACATACTTAGGCCACTTCTATAACTTAGCTACTATGAATTGTGCTGTTACAAAACAATTTTCTTGGGCTGGTGAGATGGCTCAGTGGTCTAAAGCACCTACTTAGAACAAGCTTAGCAAAGCACAGGGACCACGGTTCAATCCCCCAGCACCACATACCAGCCAGCCCCGCCCCCTGGTGGGCTGAGCTGGCCCCCCCACATAAATAAAATTTAAAAAAACAAACAAACAAACAAAAAACAATTTTCTTTGAGTTGAAAAGTCAGCAGTTATCAGAGACCCCTTCAGTGAACCTCAGTCTCCTGCCAGATGTTACAGCACATGGTAGAAAGCAAGCAAGCAAACAGGCAAGCAAGCTGGAGAGATAGCTTAGCAGTCTAAGTGTGTGCTTTGCTGGCCACCAAAACTAGGCATGGGGGCACACACCTGTAATCCCAGTGCTGGAGAGCCTGAGACAGGACTAACAAACCCTTCATTGTGCAGCAATCTTCGTTCTTTTTAAAATTTAGGTTTTAGCTTTGAATTTTTAAACTTAATTTTTATCTTTTTGTTTTTTTTGAGACAAAGTCTTGCTTTATAGTTCAGGTTGTCCTTAAAGTCACTACACAGCTCAGGCTGGCCTCAAACTCTCAGTCATTCTGCTGCCTCAACCTCCTGAGTTCTGGGATTTTAGGTATGTGTCCGAGCTGCATAGCAAGATCCTGTACCAAGTAAATTAATTTTTTTTAAAAAAATTTTTTTAAAGAAAGAAAGAATAAAAGAAATGTAAGAGGCACAATGGCAGTGCAGTGGGAATCATGGGTGACCAGTTGTTCATGAGGATCAAAAGGCCATGAGGCAGCCAGAACTTTGGCATTTATTGATTGAGGAGGGGATTATTGGATACCTCAGAGGGTATTGGTGATTTTAAGCTAGTGAAGATCTTGTCCTGAAGCATTGTTAATCTTGGATGTCTTGGTCTTAGTAGGGGGCGAGAGGGTGGCCCACACCCAATGGGATAGTGGGAAATCTCAAGAGGGTGATGCCATAATCCAAAGCCCCTGCTCATCCCTTAGGGAAGTATGTAAAAGCAGCCAGAGTAAATTTGTGGTCTCCAACAAGCACCTTCTCTTTGAGGTGCTTAAGCTCAAACAAGGACACAGGGAGCATGGAGGGAGGTGTAGGACACAGATTGCATGGATGATTCTTAAATGAAGACCATAAACCGGCTTTTCCCAAGTTTTTTTAGACACGGTGAGAAAAAGAAGAGCAGAGTGGGAAGAGAAACTGCTGAGCTTGCGCAGCAAATAAGAGGCAGAACTAGGTAGGACTCAGTCTTCACCTGCTAATAACTGGTCACCAGCTGGCCCGAGGCATCAGGAGCTGCAGAGCCCAGAGCAGCTGTCCAAATGCAAAGTGGATTGGCTCAGAGCTGCCATGGAAGGTTCTAATTGGACGGGGGGTGGCAGTGTCAGACAGAAGATGACCGGGATTTGGCTGCTACGAGGTAAGCACAACTAGTGGAATGGAGCTGGATAACAAAGACACCACCTGCACATCAGAGACAAGTTGGAGGGGAAGAGAAGGAATGGTTCAGGACATGACACCATGAAACACCTTTGCAGAACAGAGGAGTTCAGTGGGCATAGGGGATCTGACCAATCCCTTCAATCTCTTGGGCCAGTGAGTGTTGCTGGCATAGAAGATATAGTACATGGTTCATTTCTGATCATAAACTGACCAAAAGCTTAGATTCCCATCTTGCTGACAATCATTTGACTAAGGATGGGTCCAAGATTACAGACAACTGGGGCTGGAAGAGACTCTTTTCCTCCTCTATTTTCCCAACCTAGCTGAGGTGGTTGGTTGGTTGGTTTTAGGCTCAAAAAACAACCTGAGTCTCTAGCAGGGGCTTTTCTGATGAGGTTCTGTGTCCTAGCTCCGATTACCTCTTCTTTACCAGCAGGATATAACATTGGGCAACAACAAGCTATCCTATACTTTTTTGCTGTAAATTTGTACTTTAGCAGAATAGTATCCAGCTGTGTGTCTCAGTAGCTGCACCTGTTGCAATTTCAAAACAGAGAATTGTACTGTACAATGTTTGGATTTCAGAAAGATATAACATTGGTCTTGTGTGTAGCAAAGAAAAACAAACTGGTATTGTTGATGTCTACATTGCACCATGATGGAAACATTGACAGGGAAGCTTCAACAGAATGGAAGCCCGAGGTGAAGACTTTCTACCACAAAACCAAAGGCAAAGTACATGCTGATGGAGCAACGATGATGTCACTTGCAACAAAAGTGTTGGTCAATGGTTGTACTTTGCCAAACCCTAAGCATGTGTGTCATAAATAGTTTGACAGCCTATGAAGAAAATAAGTACAAAATACCACAGAGACATTTTCTTAGAACTGGAACTTAGAAGAAATCATTTACAGCAAAGAAACAACAAAATGTTTCTTCTTAGGGAACTATGCAAAAAAAAAAATTGTGGAACACACTGGTGAGCTGAGAGGTGAACAGGTAGGTGCAACATCATGAAGACCTACTATGACTAAAGGAAAACAAACAACAACAACAACAACAAGCCAACTGTGCTGCACTGGAAAGGTCAGCAGTTGGGTGTGGTGCATGTGTCTGTTATTCCAGCACTTGTCGTTCTTGGTTTTCCATTCCCCAGAAGCCACTTTTCGTGGCCAAAGAGAACATCAAGGTTGGTCATCTGAACAAGTTTCTCAATGATATTTTTATTGCCCTGGCGTACTTTAAGTTTTAGCTAGTGACTAAACAAAAAGCAAACAATAACCAAAACCAACTTAGGCCAGCAATCCTTAGTCAGACATGTCTGATGTCCAATGCCAGCTCAATTTCTTCTTCCTGTAGATTTGAGAGACTTAGCCTTTCTGAACTGCATGTGTGTGTATATGTGTGTTGCATGTGTATGCAAAATAGAAATGTGTATTGTATCATTCATTTTTCAGTAAGGACCCAGAGACCACTCTAGATATTCCAGATAAGCAGGATTTAATGCAAGGAATTATTAGAAAGTTGTAGGGAGGGTTTGTTGTAGACTCAAGAGAAAAAGGAGGGTTATCCAGAGATCAGGAAGCTACTATCAATCTTGATTTAGATGGGCTGAGGGAGAAAAGGTGTTGCTCAAGGAACCAGAACTGGAGCACACATATTGACATGAGCTTGTATTGCTGGTGCTGCTGGTGTTCCTGGAGAGCTGGCGCTGTGTCCCACCATGATGCAGAACAAAACCACAGATGAAGGAGGTAAAATGCAAGCCAGTGTATTTGAAGGATGCAAAGGCAAGAAACTGAAAGACAGAAAGGTAAGAAAGGAAAGCTCCTACTACCCAGGAAGGGGTTCAGAGTAGGATACCAAGAAGGCTTTTTGGAAATTTTTAGGGGGTTTCAAAGGGAGCTTGAGCCATTGTGTACACAACATGATCTTTTTTAAAAAATTTAATTTATTTTATTTTATTTTTTATTTGTGTGTGTGTGTGGTCAGCTCAGCCCACCAGGGGGCGGGGCTGGCTGGCATGTGGTGCTGGGGGATTGAACTGTGGTCCCTGTGCTTTGCTAAGCTTGCTCTAAGTAGGTGCTTTAGACCACTGAGCCATCTCACCAGCCCACACAACATGATCTTTATCCTACAACACTACAGAGCTTTAGGGGCAAATCTATGCAGTACTCATCTGGGACCCACGCAGGCCTCACGCACCCTTGAGCCAGCGACCTGCTTGATCATGCTCTGCAGAGGCCCTGGACAGCTAAAGGACAATTGGTGATGTTTTTGTAAGGTCTGTGGAGGGCTGTGACACAGGAGACACCATTTTGGGATTCCTGACTCCGTTCTCAAGCCCCTGTCCTTACTGTCTCATAGAATTATAACTCCTATTTCACTAATTCCTGTTACCCTGGAACCATCTCCCCTTTTGCTCCCTGGAGCCACTTCTGCCAATGTTGCCACAGGTGTTGCTAGAAACAGAAGGGCTTTTCCCTCCCTCCCAACTTCAGACTGAACAGGTACCAACTCTCTGGTGCTGGCTCTTTTTCTGGTACCAGGAATTGAACTCAGGATCTTGTGCTTGCCACACAGGCACTTATGCCACTGAGCTAAATCTCCATCCCAGAACCAAATCTCTGACAAGCAAATGTGAGAACTGTGGTTTGCATTTTTCCACAGTGCTGGTACAGAGACTGGGGA